ACACAGCACATTCACAACCCATCCCAGATTCACTTCAACCCAATAAACCTGAGACAGCGATGATTAGCCCCGTTTCTCAGGTGAAGGAACTGAGGCCCCGAGTAATGTAATGATATGCCCAAGAGCACACAGCTTATGGAGTGCCAAGGTTAGAATTTTATGTGTTTTTTTTTTTTCTTTTTTTTCCTGAGACAGTGTCTCTATTGCCCAAGCTGGAGTGCATGGTGCAATCTTAGCTCACTGCAACCTCCACTTCCTAGGTTCAAGCGATTCTCCTGCCTCAGCTTTCTGAGTAGTTAGAATTACAGGTATATGCCACCACCCTCGGCTAATTTTTGTATTTTTAGTAGAGACGGGGTTTTGCCATGTTGGCCTGGCCGGTCTCAAACTTCCAGCCTCAACTGATTTACCCACCTCGGCCTCCCAAAGTGCTGGGATTATAGATGTGAGCCACTGCACGCAGCCTAGAATGTCATGTATTTAACAAACATTCATATAGTGTTTACTACATGCCAATCACTGTTAGAAAGCCCATGAACCCATCATCCAACAATTTTCCAGTAAAAGGGTTACCACTAGCAGAACTTCCTTAAAGCAACATCTTGTTTCTCTATTTTAAAAATAACTTTTTTTCTCCAATCACTAAAGTAATACATGTTTATTGTAGAATAGGAGAAGCACAAAGAAAATGGAGCAGGGATTTTTCTCCCTTGTTTCCCATAGCTCTGATCTGGTTTCTCTGTGATTTGAGATTCATGTGAACAGGTGACATGCTGGGGAGCCCGGGACAGGGGATATATACCTTCGGGAAATTTCTGTCAAGCAGTTTGTATCCTGATTAATAGGACTTTGGGCACAGGGAATCTGAGGAATTTTTCAGGAGAAGATACACCAGTTGGAATGGAAGTTTCCTTTAGTTGGGATTTTTCTAGGACTATCTGGTATTGCCTGGAGCAGGAGCTTCCTTACTTACCTGCTCTGCAAATCATGGCTTCCTTATCTGGAAAATAGTCCTAAGCATCCCTAACTCATCCAGTTGTGGTGCACACTCTTCCCACTTCCAACAATGTCTGCAGCACTGGAACCCCTGGTTAATTAGCAGATTGTACCCTCCTTCACATGGGGTGTTGGGGCTGAGTTCATTGTTCACAACAGTGCTCTGCCTTTGGAGACAGAGATCTGAGTTCAGATCCTGATTTCATCTTTAAACGGTTGTCAAGTTCCTTTACATGTTTCAGCCTCAATTTCTTCATCTGTCCAAAATGTACCTGTATTACAGGGTAGTTGGGAGGTTTCAACAAAAATGTATGTAAAATATCTAGCTGAGTGTTGACGCCTAGGAAGTTCTCAGGAAATGGGTGCTATTATCATCATTTATTTCAGGCCTACTATGTGCCTGGCACTCTCAGGGGAGGAAGGCACAAAAGTGAAAGCAAAGCCTGGGTCCTGCGCCCAAGGAGTTTGAAGCTCTGTTGCTAGGTAGACTAGAGTAAAAGGGTCTTATGCACTGGAGATAGGGTAGGAGATATAACAGCAACTGCCAATTCTTGAGGCTCCTTATGAACCAGGTGTGCTGAAAGCTTTATATGCATTATCTCATGAGATTTCCTCACAATCCTATGAGGTAAGTGCTAGGAGGATTAGAAAATCAAGGATCAAAGATCAGAGAATTTATGAAATTTGGCTGGGTCACACAGCTAATAAAGTGTCAGGGCCTAGGTTTTAACCCAAGGATGTCTGACTTTAGATTCGTTGCTTCTGGCATTCCATTAGAGTTGGACCTTGAAGGATGGGTCAGATTTGGGCACAAGGGGATGGAGGGGAGGAGGGGCCTGGAGAATAGGAGAATATGGAGCCAGGTAAGCAAAACGTGGGAGATGGGAAAGTGTAGGGCATGTATGGCAGAAACTCTGAGGTTTTTTTGTTTGTTTGTTTTTTGATTTTTTTTTAAAAATTATTTATTTGAGACAGAATCTTGCTCTGTGGCCCAGGCTGGAGTATAGTGGCAGGATCTTGGCTCATTGCAACCTCTGCCATCTGGGTTCAAGCGATTCTCCTGCCTCAGTCTCCCAAGTACCTGGGATTACAAGTACATACCACCACGCCTAATTGTTTTGTGTGTTTTTAGTAGAGACACGTTTTTGCCATGTTGACCAGGCTGATCTCGAACTCCTGGCCTCAAGTGATCCACCCACCTCCTCCTCCCAAAGTGCTGGGATTACAGGCATGTGCCACCGCTTGTTTGTTTTGAGACAGTCTTACTCTGTCGCCCAGGCTGGAGTGCAGTGACATGATCATGGCTCACTTGCAACCTTGACCTCCCTGGGCTCAGGTGATCCTCCCACCTCAGCTCCCGAGTAGCTGGGATTAAGACCTGTGCCACCGTGCCCAGCCCAGCTAATTTTTCTATATTTTTGGGAGCGAGAGTTTCGGCATGTTGCCCAGGTTGGTCTTGAACTCCTGGGCTCAAGAGATCTGTCCACCTTGGTCTCCCAAAGTGCTGGGATTACAGGCTTGAACTACTGTGCCCGGCCTGAAACTGCAAGTATTTAGTTCAGTTCCATCTGAGGGCCTCTTCTGGTCCATTTCACATAAACCTTAGCTAAAATATATTAAGTACCTACCATGCACCTGACACTTCTCTAAGGACTTTATAACCAACACCTTACTAAGTCCTCACAGTAAATGGAGAGTTCACTTGTGCCACCCCCATTTCTAAGATGAGGAAATTGAGGCTCAGAATGGTCCAGCGACCTGACCAGGATCACAATGCTAGGAATGAATGGGGCAGGAATTCAAGCTCAGGGAGGCAGATTTCAGATCTGTGCCCCACACCTCTTGTAAGAATTAGTCAGTTCCCAGGAGGTGAAACTCTAAAGCCAGCCCCAGGTGCCCGAAACTCAACCACAGAGAGCTGGCTCTCAGCCCCTCACTGGCTCCCTTCTTTTCTCCCAGCTCCACCCTGCCACCCCCATTTCCCTCCCTGGCCCTGGGGCTCTGCTTCTTCCCCAAACCTGCTCTGCTACAATTCCTTCCAGGTTCCCTCATCTGTAAAATGGGGATAATAATAGTGTCTGCCTCAGAGCAGTGTTGTGAGGATCAGAGGAGGGGCTCAAGGTGCTTAGAGCCCAGCATATAGTAGGTTCTCAATAAAAATCAGTGATCATCACCACCACTGTAATTTTAATAGTGTCTCTGAAGTCCTGTGAAATTGGCTGAGTGATAGCATTATCCACATTTGATGGATGAGGAAATTGTGGTTAAGAGACGTGAAGAAGCAGCTGTCTGGTGTCACTCAGCTAGGAAGTAGACAGTGGGACTTAATCTGGGCCTCTTGACTTTCTGACTTCAGATCTCATTAACTTCTCCTATTCTTTGCAGCAAGGGAGGTGAATGAATCATAATCAGTATTTGTTACCCGCCTTCTGCACTCCAAGCCAGGCCCTAGATGCTGAGGGGCATTCTAGAGAGATCTGACCTAGATTCTTGAAGGAGCACAGAACCAAACTGATAAACAAGGTATGAAAACAACACCTTGTTTTGTTGAGGTAGAATACACTAAGGGTCCCAAGATGGCAAGAGGCATTCTAGCTGAGAGGAAGCGGGCAGGGGAGGCTTCCCGGAGGAGGTGAGGTTTAAGTTGGGCCTCAAAGCACCAATGAGATAGGTAGACTAGAGAAAAAGGATGAGAAAATCAAGGATCAAGGATCAGAGAATTTACAAAATTTGCCTGGGTCACAAAACTAACAAAGTGTCTGGGCTTGGGTTTGAACTCAGAGCTGTTGGCTACAAAGTCTGGGCTCTTAATCATCATGGGTTATTGCCACCTTGTCCTTAACCATCTAATGAGGAATTAAGCTGTGGACTGTCTCTGGAGGGCTTTGAATGCCAAGGCTCAGACTTGCATAAAAATCACACAGCACCAGGCAAGAATCAGACCTGAAATCTAGCAGCAACTTTATCACTCACTACCCAAGGTTGCTTGTCTGAGTCTCTCTAAACTGGAGTGATGAGGAATGAAGGTTTTTGAACGAGGCAGGGAGGCTCTTTTGTGACGAAAGGATTGTTTAAGATACCTGGAGATGTTCAGACATTTACTGAGTGTTGGGTCCTATGAATACAACTGTGAACAAGACAAAGCCCTGCACTGGGCCTCTGACCCTGCTGGGCTGGCAGGCAGCTTGGGAGAGTAGGCGAAGAGCCTCTTAACTGGAAAAACAAGGGCTCCAGAGCTGGGACCTGTCCCAGATTGCATTGCCAGCTCTCAAATTAGGGAATCTCTCTGTATGACCGTGGGCAAGTTACCCAGCCTTTCAGACTGTCAGTCTTTATCATGGGGATCATCATTCTTCTTCCCAGGATTGTTGGAATAAATTAAACCACCCTTGTAACGATCTAGCAAGGTGCTTGGCATACTGTAGGTGCTGAATAGATGTTAGCTTTCTCTAAAAAGAAGTAGGCTAGTTTGACTCCGTTCCTCACCCCTCTGCCATGAAAGGGAACAGGTTCCTGGCCTTCATTTTAGCAGGAAAGGGGACATGAATGCACATGTGCTAGCTAAGCAACAATGCAAACTAACAAAAGGGCCTGTGGCCTGGGGACTACGCTGCTGGGTCTGGGCTCGGGTCCGGACGCCGCGCCAAAACATTTCCCTTCAACCCCAGGGAACCCGGGCCCATTTCTCAGCGCGCTGTGCACTGCTCTGGCCGCCTCTGCACTGTGCATCCCGGAACCACCCTCCGCCTCCGTCTTGCCGGCTGCTAGCTAGTGCTGGCCGGCGGCAGGCTGCACGGACAGCAGGTGTGGCTGCCCCTTTAAGCAGCGAAGCTAGTGTGGCAATCACCGCCTCCAGGACGGGTTCTTTCCGGGGGGTGGAGCCTGTACTATTGCAGCAGCCAACCGGAGCGCGGCATTTTCCGCGGGAGATCCGAATTTCGCGGCACGCAGTTTGGCGCTAAAAAAAAAAAAAGAAGAAAAAAAAGAGGCAGAGAAAGACTCAGGGACTAGAGAGCAAGCCGCGAGGAAGTCGGTGCAGTCAAGATCCCCTTCCCCGTCCCAGCGCATCGCGTCTCCGCCGAGCTCGCGGGCACGCCGGGACCCCTCCCCAGAACCGGCCGGACCCCAGGTGCCGTGGCCTTGGGGGGCGCGGGGCGTCCCGGGTCGCGGTGCCCGCCCCTGGCAGTGCCACCACCGCAGCCGCGGGGCAGTCTCCAAGCGGCGATCTCCAAGCGTTGCTCGGCTCGGCCGCGGGCCAGGAGGGGAGGGTCTGGCCTTGCTCGGCAGGCGTCCATTGGCGGCTTCCCCCGGCCTCCGCGCCATGCCGCGGGCTGTGTGAGCGGCGGCAGCACCGGATCTCGCAGGTGTCCGCGGACGCGCCAGGCCCATTTGGGTAGGGGGCGCCTCACTCGCTATGCTGCGAGGGCCCCGGATCTTGGCTTCGGCCACTGGGCAGCACCCGAAGGTGGTACCGGCGATGAGCCCCACCGAGCTGTGGCCGCCCGGCCTCAGCAGCCCCCAGCTCTGCCCAGCTACTACCACCTACTACACGCCGCTGTACCCGCAGACGGCGCCTCCCGCTGCGGCGCCCGGCACCTGCCTCGACGCCACTCCCCATGGACCCGAGGGCCAAGTTGTGCGATGCCTGCCGGCAGGCCGGCTGCCGGTAATGCTGGGGGTCCCCACCCCTTCCCTTCCCTCTATGCTTTTCCAGGTGTGGGAAAGGAGGGAGGGGCGCCGGAGGTCTAGTTTGAGTGAAGCAGGTAGAGTTTTGGGGAGAGGGAAGATGAAGTTTCATTCCCCAGGACCCAGTGCTCCCACTGTCTGAGCAAAAGACCCTTTCATTTTCAGACTTTGAAGTAATCTCAACTTCTAGTGGAGTGGAATGAGCACTGGACTGCGAGTCTGGATGGAGACCCAACCCACTACACCCAGTACACTGTGTGACCGTGGGGAAGTCCATGCAGCCAACGTTGCCGCCATTCATTCATTACTTCATTGTTTGGCCCAGAAACCAGTACTGGGTGCCTGCTATTGTCTAGGCAAAGGACATGGCCTGGGGACACTGTAGGACTTTAAGACAGAGGGATAGGTCTAGGGGGTCTCTCAGGTCCAGTCTGCCATGGACAGACTCCAAGTTGTCCAGTCAACTCCTGGTATAGTCCCAAGTATCTGCCCTAGGTCCTCCCGAGGCCCAGTCTTTCCTCCCAGACAGCCTGTAGCAGATACAAATGAGTGCAGCCCCTTGGGTTCTGTTCAGATTGGCTGCTCTCTCCTCAAGCCCCCAGGCTTGTTGCCAGAGAGACCCCAAAGTGTAGTGGCACCAGGCTGCCTGCCGACCTGGGCTCAGGGTGTGTTTGGTGGGAGTGGAATTCCTGGAGCCCATCTGAATCAAAACAACTTTAGGGTTGGGGGTGGAGTGGGAAAAGCCCTGGGGAGTCGGGTGGTGGTGGTTGAGGAGCCTGGTTTCTGGTCTGACTCTGCCACTAATTCTCTGTGTGTCCTTGGACAACTCTTGGCCCCAGTCTGGGCTTCAGTTTCCTCTCCTTGACCATGCATGTGTGCACAGGGTGGCTGTGGGGCTAGCTCTTCTCAGCCACGTTCAGCTCCAGGTCTTGGGTTTTGGAAGCAGGATCCGGGGAAGGGAAGGGGATGTTGTAGGTTTGCTTAGTTTTGAGTAAGTTCAGGTACAGGGATAAGACCACCCGCCACTGCCCCAGAGGCATCTGGTCAGACCTGTGCTAGTCAGCAGGCACGGATGCCCAGCCAGCTCTGGATGCAGGCAGAGCCACCACTCCCTGCCAGTGGACTCAGGCTTTGCCCATGTTCAAAATTTTAACCTCACTGGACATTATTTCTAACTGGGAAACCCTTACTGTACATTATTTCTAACTAGAAGGACAGTGGGCAGGAATAGTATGATCCCCATTTTACAGGTTAAGCAACCAAGGATAACTCAGACTGGGCATTTTGTGTTCAGTGTCTTGTTTTTTTTAAATATACATACATATATATATATATATATATATTTTTTTTTTTTTAAATAAAGATGGGGTTTCACCATGATGGCCAGGCTGGTCTTGAACTCTTGACCTCAGGTGATCCACCCACCTCAGCCTACCAAAGTGCTAGGATTACAGGCCTTTCTTTTTTTTTTTTTTTTGAGACAGAGTCTCGCTCTGTAGCCCAGGCTGGAGTACAGCGGCACGATCTCGGCTCACTGCACCCTCCACCTCTTGGGTCCCAGTTCAAGTAATTCTCCTGCCTGAGCCTCCCAAGTAGCTGGGATTACAGGCATGCGCCACCACACTCAGCTAATTTTTGTATTTTTAGTAGAGACGGGGTTTCACCATATTGGCCAGGCTGGTCTTGAACTCTTGACCTTGTGATCCACTCGCCTCAGCCTCCCAAAGTGCTGGGATCACCACGCCCAGCCCAGTGTTTTACTGCCTAAAACACTTTTGTAGTTTGTGAAATAGATGGCATTAGTAGCTCCATGTTACGGGGGAAACTAAGGCTCAGAGAGAGGATATGACCTAAGGTCAGAGATGGGGATGGGCTAGAGTGATGGGACTCACAAGGCAGTAGGCTCTTCTCTCTTTTTTTAAATTTTTTATTGTAGAGACAGGGACCTCCCTATGTTCCCCAGGCTGGTCTCAACTCCTGGGCTCAAGCAATCCTCTTGCCTTGGCCACCCAAAGTGCAAGGATTACAGGCATGAGATACTGCACTTGGTCAGGCAGTAGGCTCTTCTCTATGTAGCCCCGACTTTCTTCAGTACTGCCTGACTTAGAAGTTGCGTTCCCTGCAGGGAAGGGAGCGCTTCGGCAGGCCCACTTTTTTCTGGCCAGCTGCTTTCAGATTGGAAGTTTCAGTAACAGCTGTGGTTTTGAACTGCTTTGAACCCTCCCAGAGGAGCGCAAGTGCATCTGTCTGTACCTCCCTCCCAGAGGGCCTCAGTGATCTTAGCAAGAAGGGCTCTCTTTTACTGAGGCCACTCGTGTGCCAGACACTGCTTGGCACTCTTCACGTTCATTATCTTGGTCAAGATGTCCAAAATGAGGCATCTTGCAGATGAGGAAACTGAGCAAAGAAAGGAAGTCCCTTGCCCGGGTCACAAGCAAAGAAGCAGGGGAGCCTCCTTGCAGCAGACCACCCTAAAGGCCGCCAGGCCCAGAGCTCCCGCTCCTGTCAGTCCCCATGTGCCCGGGTCCCAGCCCTGTGGGCAGGCCTGCCCTCTGCTTACTCATTTTACAAGGGTGTGACCTGGAGCAGGTCCAAATCTAACCCTGGGTGTGGCCGCTTGCTTTGTGGCCAGGCTGCAAAGTGCAGGGTGAGCAGGATTTGTTGGGGAGCTTCTGTTTAAAGGGACCTCAGGCACTGTCCAAGGATGGCAACCAAGTTCAGTGGCGGAATGAAAGTCAGAACCTAGATCTCCTGGCTCCCTGTCCAGAACTCTTTCCAAGTCCTCTGAGGAAGGGTCAGGGGATGCTCCTTTATTTCGTGCCTCCTCTGGCAGGCACATAGCATCATTCTCTTTCATCCCTGCAGGAAGCTCTGCCCAGGCTGGAGTGCAATGGCATCGTCTCTGCTCACTGCAACCTCCACCTCCCAGGTTCAAGTGATTCTCCTGCCTCAGCCTCCCAGATAGCTGAGATTACAGGCGCCTGCCACCGTGCCTGGCTAATTTTTGTATTTTTAGTACAGACGGGGTTTTACCATGTTGGCCAGGCTGGTTTTGACCTCCTGAGCTCGGGTGATCTGCCCACCTTGGCCAAAGTGCTGGGATTACATATGTGAGTCACTGTGCCCAGCCCTCCTTTTCTTTTGTCTACATTTTCCAAATTTCCTCTTGTGAGCCATGAAAGAAAATACACATTTTAACAAACAAGTCTACAAGGCAGGTCAAATGAGGAGACGCAGGCTCAGAGAGGAAGACAGTGAATCCCAGGCTGCCCAGCTACCGAGTGCAGAGCTGGGATCTGAAAGCGAGTTTCGACCCCTTACATTTGCTCCTACCCCCACTGTCTTACTTAGGGTTTAGGGAGAGATCAGGCTCCACTCTGCGTGACCTTGGGCAAGGCACTTCCTCTTCCCCAAGCCCCAGTTTCCTCACCTTGCTGCCCATGAGGGGGTTGTGCCTAGGGATCTCTGACCCTCTGCACTTCTGCAGATGCCTGAGGAAGGAGCTGTACTCTTCTCCCTAGGGGTTGGCAGGGTGGGCTTGAGTCCTGACCAGGCTTTTAAGATCTAGCCAAAGGGGCAGCCTAAGAGTGCCCAGGGTGGAGCTAAGCCAGCCTCTGGCTGTGGCCACAGCCTTTGCTCTCCTTCCCCCACCGCAGTCTTTTCAGTTCACCCTTGAACTTTCCCCTTTTCCCACGGGTGCCCCCCTCCCCAGTGGGAGCACTCCCTATGGGCAAAGCCCTTTGCTGCGCTGTCTAGCTGAATCCTCAGCATAGGTGGAGACCATAATGCCCATTTTACAGGTGACTTGAGGTCAACTGATTTCCCAGCTAAGAAGGGGGAAAGCCTAGATGCAAAGCCAGGCCATTCTGACTCCAAGACCTGTGCTCAGCCTCACCTCGATCTTGATCCTCCTGGGCTTGGCCTCTGCCACCTCTGTTCTGCAGGCTCAGCCCAGGCCATAGGCTGGCTTTCCTCTGAGCACTACCCAGAGGTGTCTGGGAGGTATCCTTAGGGGACACTTTGCTGCGTTGGGACTCTGGGAGTGCAGAATAAGGGTGAGGGAGAGTGAGAAAAGAGAGAAGGGTGTGTGTGTGTGTGTGTGTGTGTGTGTGCGCGCGCGCGCGCGTGTGAGCGCACACACACACATATCTGCCCAAGCCTTGGACCAAAGTCTAGCAAATCCTGGAGCATTGTGTGTGGAATGGAGCTGCAGCAGCCTGGTACATGGCTTTGGAGTCAGACAGGCCTGGGTTCAAACCCTGGCCGTGACCTTTGTATGACCTTCGGCATGCCGCTTACCCTCTGTGAGTGTCCAGTTCTTGTCCTCCAAGAGCGAGTGCCAATACTGATGTCACAGGACTGTTGTGAGCATGTAATAGGCCTGGCATAGATATTCTGTTCAAGGTCTTTCCAGGTTTCTTCCTGGTGTGTTCCAGTGGGGAGGCAGGTGTGGCTGGGGAGACTCTGGGCTGCCCCACCTCTGCCTCAGATAGAACTTGGCCTGAACTTCCCTTCCTCTCCCTGCACTTGGTGCTCCTGCCCAGGAATATATGAAGAATACTAGGATGCACAGCCTTGGTCAGGATTGATGGAGGCCTCGGAGCTCACCAAGCCTCAGTTACTTCAGCTGAACAATGGGGATTAGTGGTGTGGGAAGATTCAGTCAAGTGATGGATGTTGGGGCGTGGCTCAGGGCATGTGGAAGGTCTCAGGCAGTGACTGGGCCTTTCTCTAGTGACAGGATGGGGCTAAATCCCTAGAATTTGGGATTTCACCAGTGAGGAAGGTAGAAAGGAATATTCAAGAGACTTCATGAGGAATCAGCAGGAAAGTGTTTGGATGGTGTCTAGGTCTGGGTAGTGGTGGAGAGAAGGAGTGTCATATCTAGGATCCTCAAATCAAAGAGCAGGGCTCCTCAAATCAGCCCAGGAAGACGTCCTGGAGGGGGCAGGAGTGGGGGAAGGGGAACTGACAGCAGGAAGAGCTGTCACCACCCCCAACACCTGTCAGCCCAGCTGTGCTCAGCAGCAGTTAGAAGTCTCAGCCCTGCGGAGCATGACCTCACCACCAAATGTTAAAATAAGCCTGTCTGTCTAAGCCAGGGTAGGGGTGTCTGCGGAACCCGGAGTTTGAAGGAGGAAAGAAATGGGCTTGATGACCCCCAGAAGGATGTGTCAAGGAAGAGGTCGAGATTAGATTTTAGGGAAGGGACTCTGCGTTTCCTAAACACCCACTGTGTGCTGAGACAGTCTGAGAACTTCACAGAATTTAAAGGAGCAGGGGCTAACTAGGGTGTTTCTCCCGCATGCATTAGACAGGGAGCTAAGCGACTCGGGGATTAATTCAGCCTGTTCCAGGGTCTTTAAGACCCGGAGGCTGCCCAGGTGGTGCCTTCCTTGAATCCTTACAATAGCCGCTTGAGGCAGGCATTTTCTACCCCGTTTACAGAGGAGGAAACTGAGGCTCCTAGATATGGAACCTCTCCTCCAAGTCGTACAGTGAGCCTGCGAAGGAGCTGGAGCTTCAAACATGGGTCTCTGACCTCTGTCCCAGTGTCCCAGTGCCCCAGTCCTGCCCCTGCCCTGCCCCTGCCCAGCCCTAACCAGGAGAGAGGCCCTTTCCGGGGCAGTGCAGCTCTGGGCCTAATTGGGGCCTGGGTGGTGACAGGGTGGAGAAGAGCAGATGGGTCTGTGGTTTGATTTCCCCAGCAGGTGTTTCCCAAGCTTGGCGGGAACAGAGAGGGAGAATGGGGAGGGGGGAGGGGTGGCCTCAGCTGCTTGTCCTTAAGACTTGGGAAGGATTCATTGTCTGCCCCTCTCGGCAAAGAAAGAATGGCAAATGCAGTCTATTCAGGAGGCCCTGGGCCCTCAAGCTGGAGCCCAAACATGGGGGTGGGGATGTTTGCACTGCTTCCCACTGTGGGCACCTCCCTGGGGTGTGGCACTGAGCCAGGAAGTCTCCTGGGTCTGGGAGGATGCCCAGCCCCACCCTGATAAGGACCAGCTGTGGGACTGTGATGGGCACTCAGTCTGGCTGGGCCATCTGCTTCTGTATGGGGGGCCTTTCCCCACCCTGATGTGGTTTAGGCCCCACCCACTGCTTCCTCCTGGTATCATCCTCTGGGTGTGGTGGGGTGAGGAGCGGGTGTAGGGGCAGACTTGGGGCCTGTGGCTAAGGAACCCTGAGCCTTTGGCCAGACTGGTTTTGGTAGGGTCTCAAGTGGCTGGGCTTCAGGATGAGAGTTTTATTTGTCCTTCAGAAAACAAGACTTCCCCTGAAAGCTCACTTCTCAGGTCATTGATATTTTCCTATCAAGGACAGCAGTGCTTCACAGGACTGGCAGTAAACTGAGGTACAGAGGTGGCCTTATCACTTTGGCCCCACATCAGGAAAGGCTAGAGGAGGAATGATTCTCAAACTCTGCCTCTCTCTCCCACCTCTCTCCCAGGCCAAAAGGAAGCTGGATCTGGAGGGGATTGGGAGACCCGCCGTCCTTGAGTTCCCAACCTCCAAGGGGAAGTTCATCAGAGTGGATGGCCTCCCCAGCCCCAAAAGTAAGCAGTGCTGATGGAGCCTCAGGGTGGGGTGGGGCGGGGCAGTGGCAGAGGGCAGTGCCCTGCCCAATCACTGGGAGTCATATTTGGATCACTTTCCAGTTTACAAAAGCTTCCTGTGCATTTTCTCACTTGATCCCACCAGGTAGGTAGGCCTGTCTCCCTTTACTAATCAGGCAACTGAGACTCAGAGAGCTTGAGTGACTTGCCACAGTTTCAGAGTGGAGTCAGGACTAGAGCCTGGACATGTAAGTCTTGCACTACTTCAGTGTTTTTTGTTTTTGTTTTTTTTAAATTATTATTATTTTTTTATGTAGACGGGGTTTCACCATGTTGGTCAGGCTGGTCTTGAACTCCCAACCTCAGATGATCCACCTGCCTTGGCCTCCAAAGTGCTTGGATTACAGACATGAGCCACCACGCCCGGCCTGTTTTTGTTTTTAGACATGTCTTACTCTGTCGCCCAGGCTGGAGTGCCGTCTTGGCTCCCTGCAACCTCCACCTCTGGGGTTCAAGCAATTCTTCCACCTCAGCCTCTCGAGCAGCTGGGACTCCAAGGGCATGCCACCATGCCTGGCTAATTTTTGTATTTTTAGTAGAGATGTGGTTTCACCATATTGACCAGGCTGGTCATGAACTCCTGACCTCAAGTGATCCACCCATCTGAGTCTCCCAAAGTGCTGGGATTACAGGCATCAGCCACCATGACCGCCAGTCTTGAACCACTTCTATCACATCATATACTGCTCTCATGATCTAAATGCTATGACCAGTGTTTTATTTGGGAATTTATTATTTTTAAAAAGTTTTCATATTTAGGTCAATGTAAACTTTTCTAAGAGAATCTAGCTCAGAGGAGCAGGGGCTAACCAGGTCTTTCTCCCACGTGCAGACAAGGAGCTAAACAAGTGATTCAAAGGGAAGGGAAGTACAGATTGATCCAGTCTGTGCCACCTCAGGTTTTTTAGATCCAGAGGTTGCCCAGGTGGTGCCTTTCTAAAGCTAAGTTGAAGGGGGTTGCTGCCTCTTGATATTTTCAGTCAATATCCTGGATAGGCCAGGCACAGTGGCTCACACCTATAATCTCACCACTTTGGGAGGCTGAGGCAGGCGGATCACCTGAGGTCAGGAGTTCAAGACCAGCCTTGCCAACATGCCAAAACACTGTCTATACTAAAGATACAAAAACTAGCTGGGCGTGGTGGTGAGCGCCTGTAATCCCAGCTACTTGGGAGGCTGAGGCAGGAGAATCACTTGAACCAGGGAGGCAGAAGTTGCCATGGGCTGAGATCATGCCACTGCACTCCAGTCTGGGAGACAGTGTGACTCCATCTCCAACAACAAAAAAAATTCCTAGTTGGAGTAGGAGTTTAGGCAACTGAGTTTGGGAGGAACACTAGTTTTACAGGTCATTCCTGTAAACATTAGTTGTCTCGTGTAAAAGGAAGCACAGCTAGATCAGGAATGGCAAGGAAGTTTCCTTTACATTGACTGGTCAAGGCTGCCCAAAGCACTGTCTTGAAGGATCCTAAGACTCATGATAACTGGTCCTCTTCCAGAGGAACCTAAGACTCTCCAAAACTCAGATTCCAGAATTACTAGATTGGCCACTAACTTGCTATATGACTTGGAAGTCACTTGATTACAAAAGTCCCCTCTCGGCTTAAGATGCTGCAGCTGAGATGTGGTGTTGCAACACCAGCCTCATTGAGAAAGATACCTTTTTCATGAACCTCCCCCACTTGATGTTATAGGACCGATTCTTCTCAGATAATCATTGGGATTTACATGGAAGGAACAGCCAGTGTGTGTCTATAAAAATGTTCTTAAATCCAGGCTTATCATTCCTATCCTATTTTAACTCCAAGCTCCTGACATTTAAGTGGCAGGATAGGGTAATGGTTAAGAAGGAAAACTCTGGAGCCAGATTGTCTGGATTTGAATTCCAACTTTGCCACTTTCTTTTTTCTTTTTCTTTTTTTTTTTTTTTTTTTTTGAGACGGAGTTTCACTCATGTTACCCAGGCTGGAGTGCAATGGCGCGATCTCGGCTCACCGCAACCACCGCCTCCTGGGTTCAGGCGATTCTCCTGCCTCAGCCTCCTGAGTAGCTGGGATTACAGGCACGCGCCACCATGCCCAGCTAACTTTTTGTATTTTAGTAGAGACGGGGTTTCACCGTGTTGACCAGGATGGTCTCGATCTCTTGACCTCGTGATCCACCCGCCTCGGCCTCCCAAAGTGCTGGGATTACAGGCTTGAGCCACCGCGCCCGGCCCAACTTTGCCACTTTCTAGCTGAGTGAGCTGAGAAAATTACTTAAATTGTGCCTCAGTATTCTTTTCTTCCCCCCCCGATGGGTGCTACTGCAGCTCAGATTGATTTTTTCCTTTTTTTTTTTTTTGGGACGGAGTCTTATCGCCAGGCTGGACTGCAGTGGCACAATCTCGGCTCACTGCAACCTCTGCCTCCTGGGTTCAAGTGATTCTTCTGCCTCAGCCTCTTGAGTAGCTGGGAACACAGGCGAGTCCCACCACACCGGGCTAATTTTTGTATTTTTAGTAGAGATGGGGTTTCACCATGTTGGCCAGAATGGTCTTGATCTCTTGACCTTGTGATCCACCTGCCTCGGCTTCCCAAAGTGCTGGGTTTACAGGCGTGAGCCACTGCGCCCAGCCGTCTCAGTATTCTCATCAATAAAATGGGGATGATTGTACAGCAACCTTATATGGTGTTGTAAGGCTTAAATGTGTTAGTATGTGGAAAGCACTTAGAACAGTGACAGGAGTTGTGGGTGGTGGTATGGCGTCCCTAAGCTGTGGTGGAAACGTGCCTTGAACCAAGAGTCAGGACACTTGGCTTCCAACATACCCACTGGCTTTGAGACCTTAAGCAAGTCACCTTCTCTCTTAGGTATTAGGCTCTCTGTTTGGACAGTGGTGGTGATGGGTGCCCTGCCTCACAATGCTTTGTAAACTGGAAAGTGGGTGGTGAAAGATGGTACTTTATGAGCCTAGGTCAATGGACGAGGGTCCTGGGATGGCACTCCCTGAGCTGTGACTGGGTCCCTTTCTTCCTCAGCCCCCAAATCCCCCGGGGAGAAGACTCGATATGACACCTCGCTGGGGCTGCTCACCAAGAAGTTCATTTACCTTCTGAGCGAGTCCGAGGATGGGGTCCTGGACCTGAACTGGGCCGCTGAGGTGCTGGATGTGCAGAAGCGGCGCATCTATGACATCACCAATGTGCTAGAGGGCATCCAGCTCATCCGCAAGAAGGCCAAGAACAACATCCAGTGGGTGTGAGTGCCCGTCCAATGGTACCCTCCAATGAGTACTTGGGCTGTGGGCGGAGCCAGAGGCAATAGCCAGTGGGTGTGAGCGGCAGGGGTAGGGCTGAGAGCAACATCCAATGGGCACAAGGGCTGAGGTGAACCAGGAGCAACATCCAAGAGGCTTATTGCTGGAGGTAGAGCCAATGTATGGTGGGGACCATACAATGTATGGTGGGGAAGAGCCCCGTGTACCTGCTGAAGTAATAGGAGAATGTGATGTGGGACAGAATGGAGAATGACTTCTGTAAAGGCCAAAGGGGACTCCAGATTCTTCCTCTTGAGTCAGAGATCCCAATATCTACTTCTAGCTTAGGGCAGTCCCCGGGGAGCTGAGTAGGGGCATCCCAGACTCCTTCCAGATCTGAGCTAGGAGTACTCCAGCCTCCTTTCTCCACTTCTGCAGGGTTTAAAGAGCTAACCTACAGCCCCTGGTATAAACCCTAAGAAAACCCAGGCGGGGGAGTCAGGACTGAGGCTACTACAGTTCCCTACTATTTGGAGCAGGTTGGGACATAGGGATGAACAGAGTCGAGAGCCCCCCCCGCAAGGTGGGGTTTAGGCCTTGACTTGTTTCTTCTCCCAAGCCCAACCCCCAAGCCCCTAGTTCCAATCCCTGGTAGCTCCCTAAGAATCAGGCATGACCACTGATTTGTACAGCCCAGGGGAGCACCCTCATAGACTATTTGAATGGCCTTGTTCTGGATTTTCACCCACACCACCCATGCATCTCTGCACAGCAGCCCTGGGGTTGGGGTCTCTGGATGTGAACTGAGATTGACATGGGGGGCTGCTCTGTTTGCAGAGGCAGGGGAATGTTTGAAGACCCCACCCGGCCTGGGAAGCAGCAACAGCTGGGGCAGGAGCTGAAGGAGCTGATGAACAGGGAGCAGGTCCTGGACCAGCTCATCCAGAGCTGCTCTCTGAGCTTCAAGCACCTGACTGAGGACAAGGCCAACAAGAGATATCCTCCTTGGTTGTGGGGAAGGTGTCAGGGAGCAGGAGCCTGTTGCATGTTTATATCTATCCTGAGTTGATTCAGTACTCACATATCAGGATTAACTCACCCTAAGGGTCTGGCATCTGCTTCTTCCTGGGTGGTTTTTCCTCTCAAGTCTATTTTTAAAATTATTTATTTATTTATTTAGAGGCAAGGGCTCACTCTGTCATCCAGGCTGTAGTACAATGGCATGATCATAGCTCACTACAGCCTCACACTTCTGGGTTCAAGTGATCCTCCCACCACAGCCTCCCGAATAGCTAGAACTGCAGGTGTGTGCCACCATGCCTGGCTAAGTTTTTATTTTTTGTATAGACAGGGTCTTGCTTTGTTGCCGAGCCTGGTCTCTAACTCTTGGCTTCAATCAGTCCTCCCACCTCAACTTCCCAAAGTGCTGAGATTACAGGCATGAGTCACTGTGCCTGGCCTCAAGTTTATTAGAGGTATGTTTTCTTTATTGAAATAAGCCAAGTACATTTTTTAAAATCTGGAAAATGAAGAAAAGAAATGATGAGCTGCCACCTTAACATAGCCATTGTTCCTTAACTGCACACAGAATGTGTGTTATTTAAATATAGTTGTAATGTAGTTGTGTGCCTGCTAAACATAGTTTTTTTTGTTTTGCTTTTTTTTTTTTTTTTGAGATGGAGTTTCGCTGTTGCTGTCCAGGCTGGAGTGCCATGGTGTGATCTTGGCTGACCGCAACCTCTGCGTCCCTGGTTCAAGCAATTCTCCTGCTTCAGCCTCCCAAGTAGCTGAGATTACAGGCATTCGCCACCATGCCCAGCTAATTTTGTATTTTTAGTAGAGACGGGATTTCTCCATGTTGGTCAGGCTGGGCCTGAACTCCTGACCTTAGGTGATCTGCTCACCTTGGCCTCCCAAAGTGCTGGGATTACAGGCGTGAGCCACTGTGCCTGGCCCCTTTTTTTTTTTTTTTTTGAGATGGAGTTGTACTCTGTTGCCCAGGGTGGAATGCAGTGGCATAATCTCGGCTCACTGCATCTTCTACCTCCTGGGTTCAAGTGATTCTCCTGCCTCAGCCTCCCAAGTAGCTGAGATTACAGGTACCTGCAACCACGCCTGGCTAATTTTTGTATTTTAAGTAGAGATGGAGTTTCACTATGTTGGTCAGGTTGGTCTTGAACTCATATACTCAGGTAATCCACCTGCCTCAGCCTCCTGAAGTTCTGGGATTACAGGCATGAGCCACTACACTTGGCCTTCATGCCCAGGTACTTTTTATATTTTTAGTGGAGATGGGGTTTCACCACATTGACCAGGCTGGTCTTGAACTCCTGACCTCAAGTGATCCACCTGCTTAGCCTCCCAAAGTGCTGGGATTACAGGCGTGAGGCACTGCGCTCAGCAGAATATTTACAGAATGTTTCCCCATATTTTACTTGTTTTCTTAGGTCAGATTCCTAGAATTGAAATGATGAGGTCAAAGAGCATGGACCTCCGGGTCTTTCATACATTTTCCAAAATCATTTCCTATCTAATTGGTTTTGGATCTGACCTTGTATTTTTGGAAGGATGCTAGGCATTGTGGGAAATATAAAGAAACAAAACATGTCTTCCTCCCTTCTCAGAGCTAATGATCTAGTTTGAGAGATCAAGCCTTTACATAAAAAGCTGATATAAGGCAACACTTTTTTTTTTTTAAGATTTATATCCCCATTTGCTTTCTAAAGGAATCCAAGGTGCTTATGATATTGATAGGTTACAGATTGTAGTTATTTCTAGGCTGTACAAGGAGTGAGAAAGTAATGTTCAGAGGCTTAGGAGAAGTGGATGAAGGTGTTTCCTGGCAGGCTTGGGGTTTGAATTTTGACCAGACAGTCACTTTTCTTGACCCTCCTGCCCTACGCTGGCCTATGTGACTTACCAGGATATCCGTGCTGTCAGCAACTTTAAGGAACAGACAGTGATTGCCGTCAAGGCTCCGCCGCAGACGAGACTGGAAGTGCCCGACAGGAATGAGGTGAGAGGGGGGACATTTGATGGAGAGCAGGGTCAGGGGCCCTGCCGGGGCAGGTTCCAGCAGCTCTGCAGACTCTGTCCCTGGCACTGCCTAGCCCCATGCCCCCCAGGCTCATTCTGGTGTCCACGGCAATATTGGTGGCCTTCAAGCTTGGACAGAAATGGCAGAAGCTGGAAAGGGCAACGGAGACTGAGTTAATGGCCTGAGAAAATCTCTGTTCCTAGCTTCTTTCTGCATCCCACCAGCCCTGAATTCCTGCGTACATGCACACTCATGCCTACACATGACGATGTCAGTACTCATGAAAATCCTTTCATGCTGACCATGCTTTCCCAGGTTGAAGATCAAAATTCCTGACACTCCCTGTGAGGCCTCAGTGCTCTGACCCCAGCTGACCTTGACAACCTCCTTCTCCCTGCTGTCTCATCTATCTTTGTTTTGGCCACACTGATGTGTCTGCAGTTTCCCCATTACACTAAGCTCATTCCTAGTGTGAGATCTTCTACATTTTATTTATTTTTTGAGATGGAGTCTCATTCTTTTGCCCAGACTGGAGTGCAATGGCATGATCTCAGCTCACTGCAACCTCTGCCTCCCGGGTTCAAGCGATTCTCCTGCCTCAGCCTCCTGAGAGCTGGGATTACAGGCGTGTACCCCCACACCTGGCTAATTTGTGAATTTTAAGTAGAGACAGGTTTCACCATGTTGGTCAGGCTGGTCTTGAACTCCTGATCTCATGATCCACTCACCTTGGCCTCCCAGAGTGTTGGGATTGCAGGCGTGAGCCACCGCACCCAGCCTTTTTTTTTTTTTTTTTTTTTTTCTCTGTCTCCCAGGCTGGAGTGCAGTGGCATGATCTCGGCTCACCGCAACCTCTGCCTCCCGGGCTCAGGCCATCCTCTCACCTCACCCTCCTGATTAGCTGGGACCACAGGTGTGTGCCACCATGCCTAGCTAATTTTTTGTATTTTTTGTAGAGATGAGGTTTTGCCATGTTGTCCTGGCTGGTCTCAAACTCCGGCACAGAAGTGATTTGCCCATCTTGGCCTCCCAAAGTGCTGGAATTACAGGTGTGAACCACTGCACCTAGTCGTGCAAGACCTTCATATATGCTCTTTCCTCAACTGAAATGCTCTTCTCTTTATGCCTGGTTTATTGCTATTCATCCTACAGGTCTCAATTCAAATGTCACTTTCTCAAGGAAGCCTTCTCTGATTACTTGCAGACTTCATAACCACCTCTGCTTTTACACTGCCTTTAGTCTCCATTTGCTGAGGTATATTTGGCATGATAACACGATTGCATTCTGCTTCATCTATTAGAGTGTAAGCTTCACAAGAGAAAGTTCTGCTCACCTTGTATCCCCTGCACAGAGCCTGGCATATGATAAGGGCTCAAGAAATAATTTGCTTAAAGGAAGAACTGGAGCTGTGGAGATGATTAATTTCCCATTCCTCCCCTGGGGAAGTTCAGGACTTAGTGGGAAAAAGATGTGGTCATTTATAGACTGAAGATGTTCTTTGAGAACATAGAGAAAGGGTAGAGGAGGCATCCTGGGTAGAGACAGTTAAACTAGATCTTAAAGAATGAATAGGGTTTTGGGCTGGGCGCTGTGGCTCACGCCTGTAATCTCAGCACTTTGGGAAACCGAGGTGGGCGGATCATGAGGTCAAGAGATCGAGACCATCCTAGCCAACATGGTGAAACCCTGTCTCTACTAAAAATACAAAAATTAGCTAGGTGTGGTGGCGTGTGCCTGTAGTCCCAGCTTCTTGGGAGGCTGAGGCAGGAGAATTGCTTGAACCCAGGAGGCAGAGGTTGCAGTGAGCCGAGATGGCGCCACTGCACTCCAGCCTGGTGCCTGGTGACAGAGCAAGACTCTATCTCAAAAAAAAAAAGGAATGAATAGGGTTTTGTTTGTTTTCAAGATGGAGTCTCACTCCATTGCCCAGGTTGGAGTACAATGGCATGATCTTGGCTCACTGCAACCTCTGCCTCCGCCTCCCAGGCTTAAGTGATTCTCCTGTCTCAGCCTCCTGAGTAGCTGGGATTACAGGTCCACACCATCACGCCCAGCAAATTTTCGTATTTTTAGTTGAGCCAGGGTTTCACTGTGTTGGTCAGGCTGGTCTTGAATTCCTGACCTCACGATCCACCCACTTCGGCCTCCCAAAGTGCTGGGATTACAGGCGTGAGCCACCGCGCCCGAACTATGAATGGGGTTTTTGCTAGGTGCGGTTCTGTGTGGGCACAGGCATGGAGACTCGGACGTGTGCCAGGATGGCATGCGTGTCATCAGTTGTGGCTTAAGTTGCGGTTATGTGGTAGGGAAGAGTCAGGGTGGGAAGGCCAAATATCAGGACTCTTGGGTACAAGTAACAGAAAGTCAAGTCCAACTGGCTTAAGCTGGACGTGTGGGTAGGGGTGGTGGGAACTAAGTGACAAGTTCTGGGGGAGATTCAGAGATGGCAGGCAAGGCTGGATGTAGATGCTCAAACTATGACTTCAGGTCTGTCTCATGCCTTTCATCTCTCTGCTTTTCTCTGTGCTGACTCCATTCCCAGGTGGGCTCTTTCTTTGTAATGGCAGAGATAGTCTCCTTGAGATGGAGTCTTGCTCTGTTGCCCAGAGTGCAATGGCATGATATCGGCTCACTGCAACCTCCGCCTCCCGGGTTCAAGCAACTCTCCTGACTCAGCCTCCCGAGTAGCTGGGATTACAGGCACCTGCTACCATGCCTGGCTAATTTTTGTATTTTTAGTAGAGACGAGGTTTCACCATGTTGGTCAGGCTGGTCTTGAACTCGTGACTTCAGGTGATCCACCCACCTTGGCCTCCCGAAGTGCTGGGATTACAGGAGTGAGCCACTGCACCCAGCCTTCATGCCCAGCTACTTTTTGTACTTAGTGGAGATAGGGTTTCACCATGTTGGCCAGGCTGGTCTTGAACTCCTGACCTCAGGTGATCCACCTGCCTCGGCCTCCAAAGTGCTGGGATACCAGCTCAGCAGCCCCAGTGGGAAGGAGGCTTCCATTTCCCACAAGTCCAGCAAAAGTCTTGGGCCTAGTGCTGGTTGGATCCACCTGAGGAGCTGAGCCATGTGCCACCCTGAACTGATCATGTCACACTAAATTTCCTGGCTGTGTCACAAGCTCACCCACTGAGGCTGGGGAAATGTGCTGCCCCCCCACCCCAAAACTACATGACCTAAGAATGGGAGAAGAGTGATTTCCCACAGGAAAATCAAGGTGTTCCCCCTAAAAGAAGTGGGCTTTGGGGCCAGACAGCAGAAACAGCAAAGTCTACCCTAGGCCAGATGGAGCTGGTCTCAGTGCCAGCCCAGGGGTTGAGCTTGCTCCCATGGGCAGCAGCAGCCACCTGTGTCCATCCATACACACTGAACCAGAGGTAAGTGTCCAGTTTCCCAGAGCCATGACCTGGCTTCTCTTCTTCCTCCAGGACAACCTGCAGATATATCTCAAGAGCACCCAAGGGCCCATCGAAGTCTACCTGTGCCCAGAGGAGGTGCAGGAGCCGGACAGTCCTTCTGAGGAGCCCCTCCCTTCTACCTCTACCCTCAGCCCCAGCCCTGACTCTGCCCAGCCCAGCAGTAGCACCGACCCTAGTATCATGGAGCCCACAGCATCCTCAGGTAGGACCCTTGTCCAGAGGGACAGGAGGTGGGGGGAGCGACCAGCCTTAGTTTTCTCTTCTGCATCAATATTTGTTGAAAACCTCCTGTTTTATCCAGCAGTCATTCTCCCCCACATGTGTGCATTGTACTTAATGCTTTATAAAGCCTCACTAGGAAGGCCTGTATTTGAATCCCAGCCCATCCACTTACCAGCTATGGGACCTTGGACAAGTTACTTAACCTCTCTTGGCCTCAATTTTTCTCATCTGTGAATTGGGCATAGTAATTAATACTGTCTAACTCTTAGGTTGTTGTGAGAATTAATAAGTTAATATGGTCAGGTGTGGTAGCTCACAGCTATAATCCTAGCACTTTGGGAGGCCGGGGCAGGAGAATCATTTGAGGCCAGGAGTTCAGGAGCAGCCTGGGCAACATAGGGAAGACCCTGTCTCTGTAAAAAAAAAATCATATTAGCCAGGTGCGGTGGCATGTGCCTGTAGTCCAGCTACTCAGGGAGCTGAGGTGGGAGGATCACTTGAGCCATGGAGGTTAAGGCTGCAGTGAGCTATGATCATGTGACTGCACTCCAGCCTGGGCGACAGGGGGAGACCCTGTCTCAAAAATAAAAATAAGAATAAAATTTAAAAAAATAGGCCAGGCACAGTGGTTCCCACCTATAATCCCAGCACTCTGGGAAGCTGAGGTGGGAGGATCACTTGAGCCCAGGAGTTCAAGACTAGCCTGGACAACATAATGAGGCTCCATCTCTAATAAAAATAAAATAAAATTTGCCCTTTAAAAAACAATAAGGCATAGAGGTGCTGTGACTTACCCAAGGTCTCCCAGCTGGGAGGCAGCAGAGCTGTGTCTTGAACCTTGGTCTATGCACTCCCAGCGCAGTGTTCTCTCCACAAGGCACAGAACAAATCAAAGAAGGGACTTCTGGCTGGGAGGTCGACAGTATGGCTAACAGCTGGCTACTCCTGATGGAAGGTAGTACAGGGAAGTTGCCAGGGAGCAGAGTCCTGAGAGCTTCCCAAAGAGGGTGGGAGTCCAAAAGGAGTACAAATGGAAGCCTGTAAAGTCCCCTCCTCCAGAACAGTTTTTACCTTTCCTTGGGATCACGCATCTGGTTAGACTGACAGGATTCTTCAAGACTGTGTGGGTCAGTGTTCCACTTTTTGTCTTCTTAGCAGCAGAATTCTTTTAAGTAGAATTAAAAGAATTAAAAGCAAAATTCTTTTAAGGTTCTTTTAAGAACCCTAGTGGTTAGACAAAGGTACAGATGGAGCTAGGCTGATGGAAGAGGCTTGCTGGAGTGGTTCTGCAGTACACTGGTTGTATCCATTTCTCTAACTCAGAGGTCAATAAACTGTAGCCTGCAGGTCAAATTTGACCTCCTTTTAATGACCTATGAGCTAAGAATGGTTTTACATTTTTAAAGAGTTGTGGGAGAAAGTAAAAGAAGGCAACTGTGTGACAGAGACTGCAAGTGTCCCGCAAAGCCTAAAATACTCTCCAGCTCTTTTTTTTTTTTTTTTTTGTTTTGAGACAGTCTTACTCCGTTACCCAGGCTGGAGTGCAATGGCAGTGATCTTAGCTCACTACAACTTCTGCCTCCCGAGTTCAAGCAATTCGCCTGCCTCAGCCTCCCAAGGAGCTGGGATTACAGGTGCCCACTACCATGCCCAGCTAATTTTTTTTTTTTTTTGAGATGAAGCCTCGCTCTGTCGCCAGGCTGGAGTGCAGTAGCACAATCTCGGCTCACTGCAACTTCTACCTCTGGGGTTCAAGTGATTCTCCTGCCTCAGCCTCCTGAGTAGCTGGGACAGGCGCATGCCACCACACCCAGCTAATTTTTGTATTTTAGAGATGGGGTTCCACCATGTTGGCCAGGATGGTCTCGATCTCAACCTCGTGATCCGCCCACCTCGGCTTCCCAAAGTGCTGGGATTACAGGCTTGAGCTGCCATGCCCGGCCAATTTTTTTTTTTTTTTCGTATTTTTAGTAGAGACAGGATTTCGCCATGTAGGCCAGCCTGGTCTCAAATTCCTGATCTCAGGTGATCCACGTGCCTCTGCCTCCCAGAGTGCTGGGATTACAGGCTCCAGCTCTTTATAGAAGTTTGCTGTCCCCATATAACTCGACCCTCTTTTTACACATGAATGAACAGAGGCCCAGAGAGGGCAAGTGGCTTCCCTAGGGTCACACAGCAAGTTGATGGCATTGCTAGGACCAGATCCCAGCCTCTCAACTCTTTTCTAGTGATCTCTCTGTGTCTGTCAGGCCTCATCAGGGACCAGACCAGAGCTTCTCCTTGTGCCAGCCATCTGTCCCTCAGGGCGCCTCCCCAGTGCCTATCTTCCATCCCAGACCTATGCCCCACCCTCTGGTTCATCCTCCTCCTGCTGCGCCTCCTCACTCAGCTGTCAGCATGCGCACAGCCCTCCGAAGCTAGAACCACCTTCACTTCGGTTGTCCTCTGAGACCTTGGGTGGAGGTGGCAGATCCCAGAGCATAAACAAGGGTGCGAAGTTGTTTTTTTCTTTTGAGATGGAGTCTCTCTCTGTCACCCAGGCTGGAGTACAGTAGCATAATCCCGGCTCACTGTAACCTCCGCTTCCCAGGTTCAAGAGATTCTCTTGCCTCAGCCTCCCGAGAGCTGGGAGTACAGGCGCATGCCACCGTGCCCGGCTAATTTTTGTATTTTTAGTAGAGACGGGGTTTCACCATGTTGGCCAACCTGGTCTTGAACTCCTGACCTCAGGTGATCCACCCGCCTCAGCTTCCCAAAGTGCTGGGATTATAGGCATGAGCCACTGCGCCGGCTAGATGTGAAGTTTTTACCTGAGTTTTACAAATCAAGATACTGAGGCCCAGAGAGGAGTAGAGGCTTACTGAGCCGTCAGTGGTGAGGCCAGCTCAAAAGCCAGCTCTCATGTCATGGCTTCATGGCTGTCACCCCAACACTTGTCACATGGCCTCATAGTGTTATCCCTGCTGACAGGAAGAGGAGGAAGTTTTCCTGAAGGTGTGCGTGCGCGCGCGCGTGCACGCGCACACGCACACACACACACATATGTTCCATGCTGTGTCCTAAAGTAGTGTCATTTTGAGGTCTGAGTGCCAGAGGCCATGCAAGAGAAGAAGCTACTGCAGTCGTGGGACCTGAGTCCTGGCCCTGGTTCTTCATTACCAGAGGAACTGTTCTCCTCAGCCTCAGTTTCCCTCATCTGTAATGGAAGGGGTTTGAACAGCATCGCCTCTGACATCTCTCCAGGCTCTGAACAATCTGAGATAAACCTAAATGTAGCTGATAGCACAGGATTTGAAATGGGGAGCCTGTATCTCACCTCTTAGTGACATCGTGACTGTGGGCAAATCACTTTAACCCCTCCAAGCCTCAGTTCCCACATCTCTTAAATAGGGACACTTGAAATTTCCTCATGAATATTGAGTGGGTTACAGGAGATGACATGCATGAATGTGATTCTTTTTTTTTTTTTTTTTTTTGGTGGTGTCTCGCTCTGTCGCCAGGCCAGAGTGCAGTGGCACGATCTGCAACCTTGGCTCACTGCAACCTCCGCCTCCCAGGTTCAAGCAATTCTCTTGCCTCAGCTTCCCTAGTAGCTGGGACTGCAGGCACACACCACCACACCCAGCTAATTTTTGTATTTTTAGTAGAGATGGGGTTTCACCATGTTGGCCAGGATGATCTCAATCTAGACCTCATGATCCTTCTGCCTAGGCCTCCCAAAGTTATGAGATCATAGGCCTGAGCCAACACACCTGGCCCAATGTGATTTTTTTTTAAAAAAAGCTTATGTGACCAGGCATGGTGGCTTACACCTGTAATCCCAGCACTTGTGGAGGCTGAGGCGGGCAGATCAGTTGAGGCCAGAAGTTCCAGACCAGCCTGACCAGTATGATGAAACATCATCTCTACTACTACAAATACAAAAATTAGCCAGACGTGGTGGCACATGCCTGTAATCCCAGTTACTCAGGAGGCTGAGGCACAACAGTCACTGGAACCTGGGAAGCAGAGGTTGCAGTGAGCTGAGATCACACCATTGCACTCCAGCCTGGTGACAGAGCAAGACTCTGTATGAAAAAAAAAAAAAAAAAAAAGCTTGTGTGAAGAGCATCTACCGAAGTGGGCCTGGTGCTGTTTTAGAGACAGAAAAACAGTAAGAACCATTCAGAGTGCAGTGGAAAGACAGATATTCCCAAAGGCCATTCTATTTCTGGGTGTGGTCAATAGCAGGAATCAGCAAGGTCTGACTTGTAGAGATTTTCACATGTGTTTTATCAGTTACTACTTCCAATACTCATTGAGGCGAGTCCCTGTTTTTCCACATGAGGAAACAGGGTTCCGGGGTTCCATGGCTGGTGAGAGGAGGCGCTGGAGTCTGAGCCCACATGCTCCTCGCTCCCAAGCGAGGCTTCTGACTGTAACATCAGCAGTGTGCCAAATAAACCTTAGATTTTATTTATTTATTTATTTATTTATTTATTTTTTGAGACGGCGTTTCGCTCTTGTTACCCAGGCTGGAGTGCAATGGCGCGATCTTGGCTCACCACAACCTCCGCCTCCCTGGTTCAGGCAATTCTCCTGCCTCAGCCTCCTGAGTCGCTGGGATTACAGGCACGCGCCACCATGCCCAGCTAATTTTTGTATTTTTAGTAGAGACAGGGTTTCACCGTGTTGACCAGGATGGTCTCGATCTCTTGACCTCGTGATCCACCCGCCTCGGCCTCCCAAAGTGCTGGGATTACAGGCTTGAGCCACCGCGCCCGGCTTTATCTATTTTTGAGACAGAGTCTCACTCTGTCGCCAGGCGCCAAGCTGGAGTGCAGTGGCACAATCTCGGCTCACTGCAACCTCCACCTTCTGGGTTCAAGCAGTTCTCCTGCCTCAGCCTCCCAAGTAGCTGGGACTGCAGGCACATGCCACCACACCCAGCTAATTTTTGTATTTTGGTAGAGACGGAGTTTCTCTGTGTTGGCCAGGATGGTCTTGATCTCTTGACCTTGTGATCTGCCCGCCTCGGCCTTCCAAAGTGCTGGGATTACAGGTGTGAGCCACTGCGCCCAGCCAGATTTTTTTTTAACTCAAATACGTTTAACTGATTTATTTGAGCCCCAGTTTTCTCATCTGTATATAGGGATAGCAGCATGGACTACCTCAGGGCCATTTGAGTGTCCAAGGAGGCTGAACAACGCCTCGCCTCAAGGGCAGTGCCACCACCTCCCCCATTAGCCTTGGTAAATGGGAGCAGTTTTTAATAGGAGCAGGGACAACATGCAGACCCGACAAACCAGTGCTTTTAAAAAAAAATTATTTATTTTTATTTTGAGACAGAGCCTTGCTCTTGTCGCCCAGGCTGGAGTGCAATGGCGCAATCTTGGCTCACTACAGCCTTCACCTCCTGATTTCAAGCGATTCTCCTGTCTCAGCCTCCTGAGTAGCTGGTATTACAGGTGCCTGCCACTACGCCTCGCTAATGTTTGTATTTTTAGTAGAGATGGAGTTTCACCATGTTGGCCAGTTTGGCCTCCAACTCCTGACCTCAGGTATCTGCCTGCCTCACTGTCCCAAAGTGCTAGGATTACAGGCATGAGCCAGCGCGCCAGGGCAAACCAGTGCTTCATATGCACTTACCATGCAGTCCCTCTGAGCAACGCTTTGAGGTAGGTAGAGTTATCATGCCCCTTGCAGAGGGGAGGAAATGGATGCTCTAAAACATGAAGTCGGCCGGGTGCGGTGGCTCATGCCTGTAATCCCAGCACTTTGGGAGGCCAAGGTGGATTACTTGAGGTCAGGAGTTTGAGACCAGGCTGGCCAACATGGTAAAATCCTGTCTCCACTAAAAATACAAAAATTAGCTGCTGTGGTGCCATCCGCCTGTAATCCCAGATACTCAGGAGGCTGAGGCTGGAGAATTGCCTGAACCCAGGAGGCAGAGGTTGCAGTGAGATGAGATCTCGCCACTGCACTCCAGCTTGGATGACAGAGCAAGACTTCACCTCAAAATAAGTAAATAAAACATGAAGTAGCATGCCCATGGGTGCACCGCCAGTCTCACCAGGCAGCCTAGCACCTGGGCACAGTTGTATCTTCAGAATAATACTTGTCTGGGGCTTAAGAAGTGACTCCAATGGAGGGAGATTCTGAGCATCAAGATGTATTTGACAGGCAATTTCCAGTGCCCTATTGCACATCCCATCCTTGTATGGGAAATCACCGTCTTACCTCTAAATGGAAACGAGCAGGCTGGGCGCTATGGCTCATGCCTGTAATCCCAGCACTTTGGGAGGCCATGGCGGGAGGATTACTTGAGCCCAGGAGTTCAAGACCAGCCTGGGCAATAGAGCGAGACCCCGTCTCTACGAAAAAGTTAAAAATTAGCTGGGCATGGTGGCATGCACCAGTGGTCCCAGCTACTCAGGAGGCTGAGGTGGGAGGATTGTTTGAGCCCAGGAGGTTGAGGCTGCAGTAAGCCGTGTTCACCCTATTGCACTCTGCACTGTAGCCTGGGCAAGACCCTGTTTCAAAAAAACAAAAGAAAAAAGAAAGAAAAGAGCATGGAGTGTTGGAGAATGGCTGCTGAAAGGTCAAATAAGATGAGGCCAGAGAAATGACCATTGGATTTAGCAGCATGTGGAGGTCATTGGTTCAGGGGCATGGAGGGGAGAAACCCCAGACTGGGGTGAGTTGAAGACAGAATAGTAATAAGGAAGTAGAGACAAGCTCAGGCTCCTCTGAAGAAAGTTTACTGTGAAAAGGAGCAGAAAAATGGGCCAGTAATTGGAGAGGGTGATGAGGTCAAGTATACTCGTGTGTGGTAGGGAGTAAAGTCAACATAACAAAAAATTACCATCATCACTATTTTTATTTATTTATCTATTTATTTATTGAGATGGACTCTCACTCTGTCACCCAGGCTGGAGTGCAGTGGCGCGATCTCGGCTCACTGCAACCTCTGCCTCCTGGGTTCAAGTGATTCTCCTGCTTCAGCCTCCCAAGTAGCTGGGACTACAGGTGTGTGCCACCATGCCCGGGTAATTTGTTTCTATTTTTAGTACAGACGAGGTTTCACCGTGTTCGCCAGGATGGTCTTGATTTCCTGACCTCGTGATCTGCCCGCCTTAGCCTCCCAAAGTGCTGGGATTACAGGCGTGAGCCACCATACCATGCCTGGCCTCTGATAGTGGTTTTTAATGCATATATATTTTTTAACTTTCCTGGAAGTCCAGTGTCTATTTTTTCTTTTGTTGCTTGTGCCTTTGTTGTCATATCCAAGAAATAACGGCCAAATCTAATGTCATGAAGTTTTTGCTCTGTTTTCTTCTGAGATTTATAGTTTTAGGTTTTAGATTGAGATCTTTGATCCATTTTAAATTAATTTTTTATGTGGTATTGGATAAGAATCCAACTTCATTCTTTTCCATTGGACATCCAGTTTTCCCTGCATCCTTTCTTAAAGAGACTGTCCCTTGGGGAGGATGCTTTTTAAAGATATGAGTTATTCCAGCATATCCACGTGTGGATGGGAATGTTCTGGTAGAATGAGAGAAATGGATGACACAGGAAAAAAGAAATTATTTCAAGGGGCTTGAAAGTGAAATGGGGAAGGGCAAGTGCGGTGGTTCACATCTGTAATCCCAGCACTTTGGGAGGCCGAGGCGGGCAGATTACTTGAGGTCAGGAGTTCAAGACCAGCCTGGCCAATGTGGTGAAAACCCATCTCTATTAAAAATATACAAATTAGCTGGGCATAGTGATGCGCACCTGTAGTCTCAGCTACTTGGGAGGCTGAGGTGGGAGAATCACTTGAATCCGGGATGCAGAGGTTGCAGTGAGCCAAGATCATACCACTGTACTCTAGCCTAGGTGATA